CTTTGTGTATACGTACATAATATACAGAATATGTATATATACATACATCTAAAACTCACAACATATCTATCTATCTATCTATCTATCTATCTACCTATCTATCTATCTATCTATCTTTCTATCTATCTATCTGTCTATCTATCTGTCTATCTATCTATCTATCTATCTATCTATCTATCTATCTATCTCTCTATCTGTCTATCTATCTATCTGTCTCTCTATCCGTCTATCTATCTATCCATCTATCCGTCTATCTATCTATCCATCTATCTATCTATCTATCTATCTATCTTTCTATCTACCTTTCTATCTACATTTCTATCTGCCTTTCTATCTACCTTTCTATCTTGCTTTTTATCTTTTATTCTATCTTTCTTTCTACATTTTTTTCGTTATTTATTTATTTATTTTTGTTCTGTCTTTCTCTCCTGCTGTATATATATATATATATCTATCTTTATTTCTATCTATCTTTCTATCTATCTTTCTATCTTTCTTTCTGTCTTTCTTTCTTTCTCTCTCTATCTCCCTACCTACCTGTCTATCTTTCCTTCTTGATTTCTTTCTTTCTTTCTCCCTCTATCTCCCTATGTTTCCATCTATCCATCTATCCATCTATGTATACACACACATACATGCCTACATACGTCAGGGTCATATGGACATAGACGATGTATGTATGTATGTATGTATGTATGTATGTATGTATGTAGGTAGGTAGGTAGGTAGGTAGGTAGGTAGGTAGGTAGGCACACAAACACGAACATAGCACTACACCCAACAGCTTGAACTAAAAGCGCACGCTTGTTGTTATGCTTGAATATATGACGAAAGTTGCTTTTCCATCCTTGTCAGGAGGTCATCGTGGGTCAGATGCTGCTAGAGGTGCATCAGATACTTGCGACAGAGAGCTGGTACTCGATGGCCTGAGGGCACCCTTCTGCTGTCGGTACCTGCAGTTCACCAAGCATCTGCCAACGTGATCCCCGGAAGAGTTTCTCTTCTTGCGTATCCGTCAATCCCGGCTTCTGCTTCCCTGTTTGCATTCACTTTGGTGGCTGCGCAGATCCGCTCCCTGCGTCGCAAGTATTCTGACTTTGCTGCAGAGGCAGGTCCCAGGGTTCAGACCTAACATCCGGGTGTTGCTATATCTATCAGCACAAATGTGACCGGGCATCAGCAAGAACGGATTCAGATCATGAAATGGGCGTGCGACCGCTTAATTTCGAACATTATCGCACGTTGTAGCTGATGAATCCCCGGCTCTTGCCCGGAGTTGCAGCGTCGAGCCAGGTCACCCAAGGCAAAGGTGATCACGGCAGCGCAGCTTCGGTGTCTGTCATCGCGTGGCACGTAACGCGACTGCAAGGGGTGTTGAAAGCGTTGGAGCCCCCTCCGTTTTGGAGGAACTCTTTGGTGTTGCCGGGCGGTGGTTCGTAGACTTCCGGCACATTGCCCCGCTTGGGTTTTGTTGGAGAAATGGCCAGGAGTTCCACAGCGACTACGATCGCCTGCTCATGCTGCTCAGCAATTCCATGCTGTGGAAATTCTGCCAGTGGCTCGCTTGTGCTGAGGACCTAGAACATGCCTGGCTTGGACACCTGGTCGTCCCGTTACATACCTGTCGAACTCATGAGTTAAATCGTTCCACCAATACATAACTTAAGTAAGAAATTGAACAGCTGCAAGTACAACTCAAGCAGTGCAGGTAGCTTCGTACTTACACATTTTGGCATGTAAAGAGCTCTGACTCTAACCATACCTGCAGTCGCAAGTTCATGGATGCAGAAGCAACCGCAGTTTGCAGATCACAAACTACACATTCATTGCTATCTTTCCATGTAGATGAGTTGGTGAATGGCTGATAAGCCTTCTCAGACAAGTTAGTTCTGAAAACCCGATGCTCGGCAGACATTATACACCTCGGGGCAGGATCTACAGGAACTGATCTTCGGCATGCTTTGTGTTTGCGTTCGCGGTGAACCAAAATGTTGTGTCTTTCTGTTTGTATGTTTGTAGCTCCGAAGAGGCCAACCTCCATAAGAGCTTTAGCTTGGGCATGGTCGCCAACCTTCAATTGTACGTCCTGGGAAGATGTTCATGGGACAACGTGTCATGGATCGTATTCGGGGCGAGGCAGAGGTACAGCGGCAGCAGAGTGTCGACGTCTCGAGGCGGCGTTTAGCCATGCTCCGGGGACTCTTCGAGGCCGGGCTGGGAGCAGAGTTCAGCCGAAGCGCGCGAGGAGTCACAGACAGTTTGGTCCCTGCGGGTCGCAGTTCAGAGCCGCGCGTACTTCAGGCACACCGGGCGTTGAACGCGCATGTCGAGGAGGAGGAGCAGTGTCGGGTGGTGTTGAGGCCAAAAGGGGAAGGCGGCAGCTCGAGGGGAATGAAGGTTTTTTTTGCAGACTGCTGAGGCTCTGGCACGCTACTTCTGCAGGTGGTTTGTCAGAGTATCCTTTTCGCATGTTGCATGCTGACGAGGGCTTGACAGGATCCTTGCGATGGGAACTCAGTCCGAGTGTGATCCTCTGCGAGTCATCCCAGACCAACGAGTAGAGATCCCCATCAGGGTGGGAGGAACAGATGATGGGTTGTGGCCGCGCTGAGGAGGCTTTCGGGGCAGCACCTGCTCGAGTGGATGGCTCCTTGGCTGAATTTCCTTCGCCCTGCTAGGATGTAGCATTGGAGCCTGCGGTTTGTGCGTGCTTCTCAGCTACAGTGTCCCGGAGTCAAAAAGCTGCTAAGGTTGTCTCCGGGTCGGCCGATTGCTGCCACCTGGAAGGCAGAAGATTCTGCGATCTGAGTTCTGCACTTGGGCCGCGCTCAAGGCGATTCCTTGGATCCTTGGTTTCTCGTTGCTCACAGTGCCTTCATTGTGCCGTAGCATGCACACCTCGATTTTTCTGGGCCACAGCTGTCATCGCATTGTATCAGTTCTGAAGCGTCAAAGAATTGGCGTGAAGCGTCAAAGCTCCTCCAGCCTGTTGATCTCCGGTGTTTGGACACTTAGCATCAATGGCGATGCCTCGAGTCGGCCGAGAACGGAAGTTCGTTTCAGAAGAGCGATATTCATGAAGCCACTTTCTTGGACAACTTCTGTGAGTCGCGCCGCGAGACGGCTGGGACGCACGAAAGTGAATCAAGTTGGGATAAGTGTAGGAGTCTTTCACGGTTGATTGAAGCAAGACAAAGTCCGGAGAGGCTGATGGCCTTCTTCCAAAGCAAGCGCAGCGACTCCAGCGAGGACTGTCCTTCATTGCGGCGACATGCGGCGACCGTGCCAAGTGCGCAAGAGTGCGAAGTGCGCAGTGCGCCTCACTCTGCAGCATGGGTGGAATGTGTCGTTAGGAGGCGCAGCAGGATGCCTTGAACGAGCTCCTGCTCGAGTGGCAGGGTCGACCGCCGGGCGCCCGAGTGCTGTTCTGTGACCTATGGACTAGCAAACAATCCAATGCGGAAAGCTGTGGTCACCGATCGTGTGGCATGATGCCGTTTACAAGCGCAATCACGCCAATGTGACCTTGGTTTAAAAGTTTAGAAACTCAATTAGAGCACTCGCGACTCAGAGCTGCAGGCCTGGACCGGAAGATCTCACCAGCGATCCGGACATGCTGGACTGCAATCCGCTTTCTTGATCAGGGCCAAGAAAATCAGGATGCCTTCAGGAATAGTTCCCCACGTTGACTTCGTGTTGCATTTCGGGCAGATGCTTGTGGGTCATGCATGAACAGGGATCATGGAGCCTTTGGCAATTGCACAGCTGTGGCAATGTTCCTTTCGGTGTAGACGGAAAGAATTGACTCAAACCATGCAGCGACTTCAAGTCAGTGGTCTTCTGGCAACGTCTGGAGGCCCCATCGATGAAGAGCTTGAAGGGGCTCTTTTCGAGTGCGCCAACGAACAGACGCAAAATACTTGTTGGCAGAGAATGCAGCAAGAACCGAAAGCAGCATAATTGCAACCGAAAACATTCTCAAGCCGGTGCTCCTGCAAGTAGGCAGAGGACTTGTGAGCTTTGTCGCTTGCCAAACTTGCCAACATCTCGATTTGTTTGCAGCCTCCTAGATCATAACGTTGCAAGGACTCATGACTTTGAAGATTTTTGAACAATGAGTTTCCTTCGCGGTTGCTTGCAATGCAACAGTTGATCCGAAACGAGATGCACACGACTTGAAGTTGCTAGTTTTGACGGCCAGCAGGTACAACCAATGCCCTACACGGCCTGTACCTGAAAGAGGCGGGAGCTCATTTCTTGGTGCTGGCTGCTCCGACGATCTAGCACGCAGTGAGGTCGAAGCATAGTGGAACGAGGTAGACTGAACCCAAATCCTGAAGCCACCTCAGCTGCTCAGATGCTGCTGGAGTCGGTCCGGCTGCTTGAGCAGACCTCGCCTTCCACGGGTGGCGCCACTTATGCGGAGTACAGGCAGCCCACAGAAACTCAGGGTTGAGCAGCGATCAATATCACTGTCAGTAGAAGGATGCTTGTGGTGCACGGTCAAGGCCTGTGAATCAGCGTGCTACCGAAGCAAGAGGAAACAGGGCCACAAGAGAGCAACAAGAGCGAAACTCCCGAACTCCCTGAAGCAACCCCTGGAAGTCTAGCAGGGGAGCTAAATCCCTCTCGCCGTTCAGCAACTTCCAGACAGAGGTAGACCACCCAGGCAAAACAAAAAGACCCTGTAGAAGGGCTAGATGCAGGGCCAAACCAAGGGTGTGCAAAGCAGGCACAGATCGGACGTGACATGGCAGTGCCATCGGGACTGGGTGCAGATCCGCATAGAGTCGGTGCACAGGTTCCCATAGAGTTTATAATATATATATATATATAT